TCATTACAACTAGAAATGAACTAAGGCGCTCGGGCATCAATAAAGTCAACTGGCGAACGTTCGTTATATATATTTTTATTGTTTAAATTAAAATAATAAAGAATAGGGCATTTTATTATGATATTTGTAATCGGATCAAAGGCTTGTTTACGCTAGAGCTCGAGAGAGACTGTGAATAATAGGTGCAATGTTTTTAGGATGTAGAATAATTTAGGCGACGGTCGGAATTATGTTTCTGCGCATATGAAGGTCAAAGCTCATAAGATTTTAAAACATCTCTACGACAGTTGTACATGTTGGAGCAAAGCGCCAGGTACTCTTCTGATCTATAAATGTTAGTTTTGTAACGTCTTGGCCCCAGTTTTAAGCTAAAAATCATATCAATATGTACACCGACTCGTCGTCTTCATCTGATGATGAAATTATGTTAGAATCGAGTGCTAATAAATGGTGTTTGCAAAAAAAAAAGAATACTGTGTACATCTCATAAACCTGCGACGAAAAGTATTTGGAGAGTTTCATCATCTCTACCCAGAATTAAGAAAATTCCCAGTTCGATTTTTAAATCTATTTAATAATAACAGAGAAAAACATCTGTATTCTAGTCAAAAACAGTAAAATAATACCTTGCTAGTTTCTTTGTTCTAGCGCCTGGCTCGGTGCGCGGAACCGAGCGTTTAATACTTGGCTTTAGTACTCCACTATGAACACTTCTATAAGAATGTATACATTGAATAGTCGTGGCCAGGCGCATAGCTTTTGTCGTGGCTTGGCGTGCCGCTCCAATATAAACTTACACTAACTAGGCACCTACCTATACTCCGCGGTCGAAATTATAAAGAGTGACTAAGACATAATATAAAAACACTATTACCATAATGCGTATAAAATATAAAATGATNTGTTTACTGGGTCAGAAGTGACACCGGTCGACGCCTGGCGGGGATAAAAAAAATGATCAAGTGATAATTGATCAGTTATCGACCGGGGTTGAAAATTATTGAATTACTAATATCGCTATTAAAAAATAAGGATTGATGGTACAAGGGTGAAAATTTAGGATTGTATGTATTTTTTAAGGCCACATCATAAAAAAATAAAAAAATAAAATTTTGTCCAAAAAACAACAAAAAAATATTTTGAGGTGGACCACCCTTAACATTTAGGGGTATGAAAAATAGATGTTGGCCGATTCTCAGACCTGCCCGATAAGCACACAAAATTTCATCAAAATCGGTCCAGCCGTCCAACTATTATAATTATTATACAATATTAATACCATCAGTGGTCGTTTTTTGACAAATAATTAAAATGAATGTAAAAGAACAATATAAAAATATTTCCCTATAACGTTTCGGAAACATGTTCTAGTAGGTATACATTTTTCATATTATTATTGTTGATATGTCCTCATTTCTAAAAACAAGTATTTAATATAAATATAAGTAAAATAAATCAATATAAATATCTATCATAAAACGTATTACATAATTCAAACACAATAATTTCCTTTCGACGTTTATTTATAGGAAAATATTCCTGCTTTTCCATTTCCTCTTGGTTACTCTTATTTTTTTATTTGCTATTTCATCTTTACCAGATTTATTTTTTTACAAAATTATGTAGTCAATGATTTATGAATTTCATTTCATGTAAGTTACACACAATAATGGTATAAAAGATTTACTTTTTTAGTAGGTATATCCATTAAGAGGCTATTATTGGTTTCACTCAACATTTTTTGTTGATGAAGTTATAGTTTGGTTTACATAATTTGCGAACTGATTCTATCCAAATCATTTCCCTGTCTGCAGTTACTCTGAAAACGCTTTTATTTATGTAAGAAGTATGTGTAGTATATAAATAATATGTATTCTTGCAGTTTGGTACACAACAGTGATGTGAGTTCATTCCAGACATTTTCTATTAAAAAGTAAAACAAGCAAAAGCAATAATTATAATTATCTTCTTGAGTTACATTAAATTTAGTCTAAAATAGAAAACAATTATTATCAAAAGCACTAGCGCGGTAACGTACGAGTTAATTAGTCATAATACAACCAGTATCATTTATCTAGGAATACAATATAGAGAAGAAATTATTGTAACCTCAAACCTAATCCACAGAACACAACCCCTTTGTGACCTAATACACGTATTCTTTCGTATTGAACAATACGTTTCGTTACATAAATAGTGCTAACGATGGCAGTGTTCACAGGACGTACTTTCATGATTCCGCTCTTCCTATCCTCTTCACGAGTCTTATTTATTTAGTCATATGGTGTAGTTTTACCTAGGCGCGTCGCTTCAGTGTGGCTGTTTCTATCGCAATTCATGGTAGACTTGTTACATGCCAGTACCTACTAGCAAAAAATACTACATCTCTTTTTATCATTAGATTTAGTTGCTAGTTGCTATAACTCGCTGACACTATGTTACTCGAACTTAACGTAAGAAACACGTTCTGGTGATAACGGTAAGACCATACTTCACAGGATCATTTCTGTAGTAGGTCTTCCCCATACTCTCTACTCAAACGTAGAATTGTCGCAACCATGAATTGACAAGACGAGACCACAGTCTCGTAACTCGTAACCTGAGCGTGTGAGGCAGATTTCCTGTGGTGGTTTTATTTATATCACCGTAGAAGTCATCNTATAAATATAAGTAAAATAAATCAATATAAATATCTATCATAAAACGTATTACATAATTCAAACACAATAATTTCCTTTCGACGTTTATTTATAGGAAAATATTCCTGCTTTTCCATTTCCTCTTGGTTACTCTTATTTTTTTATTTGCTATTTCATCTTCTTGTTTCCTGGCACCTTGAATATTTCGCATAAATCTCTCAAAAGTTTCTCTTAGGTATAATTTTATTATTAACTATTGTTCTAACGAACAGTTTTAAATGGTTTTAATTACCTTCAATTCAAATAGTGTTCTAATGTCAAACCCAAACCTTAAATATATTTAGACGACGCCGTCCTTTCCCGCCTTTCTGCGGATATCAACGCAATACGCAGGCGCATCAAAAACGTCCCCAGCAATATTAGTGTAGTCCATATGAGGGAGGAATAAGAGGGTTTATTTCCATGTCTTTCATTGGAAGCATCACTTGCTCCAAACGCAACTGGCGCCATCTTACACCCGTCCTGTGAACAAATAGCAGCTGCAACACAATACAGAAACTGCAATGACCGTGCTAGCTGTCTTTGGTTTGAGAATGTAATTCAAAAATTCTTGTAACGTACTTTTCTCGGTTGCCAAATTTTTGTAACACACTTTTTATACTTTACTTGGTTTTGATTTTGCGGTAGTGACGGTTCGGTTCAGACGTTACTTGTGGCTGCCCCCGGTATACTACCAACTCTAAACGGAATCTTAATTCACAAATTGCGAATTTTAATTTACTAGATTTATTGACGTCACTGACGTCCCTATCTGGACGCCTACTTTATGACGACCCTTGACTACTAGTTTATCGGCGGCGGTGGTCGGCAGCCGGCGGTGGTGAGTGACGTCACAGAAACGTACTCCGGATTAAATCTTTTTGTGCGGATTGTCTCGGGCGCCAGTTTCCCAATCGGTTACGTGGGGGAAACTCCACGTGAAACCTACCCTCGGTTTAGAGTAAGTACTCGGGATAGCTGCAGTGAAGAAAGTTTAATTCCAGGGGTCTGTTATATTTCTCTTAATTTCAAGCAAAGTAGTTCTCTGAGTGTAGTGTTATTTTCCTTTCAAAATAAACGGTCTTATCAGTGTAGGTCACAAAAAGATAAGCGGACCTCTTTTTTACTGATCGGAATTTTATCAACTTTGTCGGCGTTAAGAATGAATACAAACGGGAATTATATTTACTAGGTTTATTTTATATTAACAAGGCCTATTGAAACAAACAAACAAAAGTAAAATAGATTCTAAT